CATCAGCCATGCATCAGCCTCTAGAGAAGTAGCAGGTCCCCTTCCTGATAGATGTTAGTCTCACCGCTTATCATTTTACCGAATCTAAGTAGCATATGCAAGTCGTATGTGTTCCCATGAGGTGTTGGAATTTTCTTTCCAATCTGAGATACTGTGGACTTCTACTTCCTCAGTGAAAGCCTCCAACAGACAGACCAGAGTGCACTTTCTACTTTTCATCTGCCCATTACTTCATGGATATGCAAGTGATGTGCGTTTCTTTAAACATATCAAGTGTTTTGAACAGTTTAGCAAAGAATCTACTTCCCAACTTAGCGTGTTGATCAATATGCACGGTAAAGTAAAACAATCATCTGTACTAATGATTCGGAAACCATTAGGTGATCAGAAGACATAACACCTTCCTAATGCGCTGACACCTCATTCCCTACAGATATTTTCCGCCCTTCCTGACATATCTGTCTGGTCGTTCTTCTGTTTGCGAAGTCATATCCATCGCTGTGGGTTTGTAAGAGGATGAGAGGGATTTCTCATATGCGTTGCGAATTTCGCCAATCGTATTTAGAGGGCTGAATTTGGAATATTGTATTTACAGCATCACAATCTGTTTCAATCATGACTGCTTTGCGATACGGAGAGTCTACATTATTATGCATATTTTCTTTCTATACTGCACTGTAAAATCTTACCGTTGCGGCTTCTTGCACCAATGTGCAGCTGAATTGTCTATCTCCCTCATTGTATTCTACCAAGTCACGGCCTAGTGATCTGTTCACATTATACTTCTTTACATTTTCAGACAATGTCTAAACTGCCTAACCACTCCAAAAATTAGTGGTCGGTTTGCATTGCACCTTGTGTCGGCTTTTGTTAAAATTGAGTACTTGAGAAGGCGATGACGTGTTTTCTTCCTCAACTCCCTTGCTGTGAGAGTACACTGTCCATGGCCGCATCACTAGCGTCAACATACAGCTCAACATTGTGAGGTGCTTCACTCAAAGTTGGGTAAGGCTGGAATTGAGTGGGACAAGGTATTCGTTGCAGCTCTTTATCACGCCTTGCCATGCTCCTTCAACAACTTGACATGCCTTTACGACCGCTTTTCTGTCATTTTTGCATAGTACCCGCGGTCTTCTCAAAACCTTAAATAAAATGCAGGTAGTAACTTGGCAAACTACAGAAACCACTGAGTTGCGTCTAAATGGTTGGTGTCTGTCTTGTCCTCATTTGCTTCGTCCGATCTTTTGCAACTACCATCCCATTCGACAAATCAGTGCTTTCCGAAGAAGCTGACCAAGCGCTGCAGAAAAAGGCATGACTTTGGGTTTGAGGTAAGCTTTGTGTCTCTCATTTTGTCATTCACAATTCCAAATTGGGCGTTATGCCCTCGAACATTTCTCCTAGAGTCGAGAATAAAATCGAGATATACTCTACAATGTTTGGGTTATGTGGCGAATAATGCGATTGGTATCAGGCGTCGGAAGTTGGCCGCTGAGTTAGAGTCCAGAAGGAATTGTCAGGAATTCGTAGATCCCATTTAGTGATGTGAAGGCTGTCTTCCTTTTGGCCTTTTAGTCACCTATGCTTGCCAGTATTCTGATTTAATGTGTAAGGTGTGGAACCAGTTGGACCCATGCAGGGACCTTGCGAATAAGTTATTTGGGGTAGTGGAAAGGCGTCCTTCTTCGTTACTGTGTTCAACTCTTTCTAGTCGACACACTGCCTCAGGTTAACAGTATCCTTCTCTACCAATGTGACTTCAGAGTTCTGTGATGACTTTGAGGGTTTTGAGACCTCCTTTCAAATCAATTCTCTGATTATACGGTTGCCTTCCGGTAAAGGCGGTAATATGCATCCGGGTGACTGCCAAATAAGGCTAGTTTCACCAGTATCTATGAATTGCCTCACGGTACTTCGTTGTCCAACACTGCCTGAATAGCAGTTCTTATTACATCTGATGTGGTTTGCTACAACTCGTGCATTATTCACGGGTTGTGAGTGAGTGTGGCATCAAGAAGAAGGCATAGAACATGAATGGATATTCTAATTGCCTAGATGCTGAGGCACTGCAGGTCTCAGACCGTTTGTAAAGGTTTGTGCAGTTGTTCAGTTATTCCATGATTCTTTACTACTTATTTTCGGATGTGTCTAGAAATAATGGCCTTTATTCCACATATTAAGTTTACGCCATTTGGATTTGACACGAGCCAAAATGTTCATCAATTTGTTCCGTACATCTTACTTTGATTAGTACCCAGAAAAATTTGATCAGCAATCTTCCTCATAGTCAGATCACGAATCTGGCCAATAAAACTAACACTTGAAGAAATCAGGAGGCCAGTACTGCTATTATGTAGAGGATCAAATAAAAAATGGTAAGATTAGAAAAGCAATTTGATCACATGCAGTGGTTTTACATATCAAATTAGCGTAGACATTTAATACCAAACATACCTGCTGTTGCATTAACTTTAATAAGGCGTTTGTATTTAAGATAACCGCTAACGTATCTGCTTGGAAACACTTATCGGCCAACCTTGCTGAGTTATGTAGCCTAAATAATCTTGCAAGAGTTGCATGCACATCTCCAAATTAAGTTCCTTTTCCGTATTCTTACCGAATGTCACAAGAGGGTAGCCACAATAGCACTTGTGAATAGAATTACTAGAGACGTGCATATCCATTTGAATTGGCTTAGCGGTCAGTTAGAGTCAAAAAGAGGGTAGGGGAACACCGCCCCATTGAATGTCTACGACTGATGGAATTGGATATGAGTGAGAAGGCAGGCCAATTGATACAATGAGCAGTGCCGTTGCAACTACTCCACCGCTACATCAAGGAAGGCAAAGCCAATGCGTAAATATTCGAAATAATTTTTGCATCTCTAACTAAAAGACTAGGATTTAGCATTTACGACTTGATTCATGTTGCAAGACCTCGAAAAAGGCATTTTGCTATTCCCTTTCATTGGAGGAATTCTTATCGCTTGTGAAGTTTTTCTTCTGACAGTCGTAGGGAACAGAACACAAAAATCTTAAATTGATTTAAGTTATTTCAGCTTCGAGTATATTTGCATGCACATGCCAATGCTACCGACGTCTCGCTGCTAAATTCAACAAGTAGCGGTGACACCCACTCCTCAGCCAATCACATCATTGAGCGCACGACATCGGACATCACTCTTCCTTCTGATTGGTCTGTGTTGTCGCACCAGAGTATCATGCCATCTGCGTCAATTAAACCAAAAGAAGGACACGGTATAATGAATTGTCATGCTAATCGGTAACTTGTCGAACAAACAGCCTTTCGGGAGTTTAAATGCCCATATGGACAGCTTACAAGGGGGAAAAAGAATTTTGCAAAAAAAAACAACAATTATCTGAGCATTCTTTCCCTCAACATGGATTTCGGCATGAGTTAGAAAACATTTCTGACTTGTTATTTAACCTGAAGCATGCCTCCCTCAGGAGTTGCTAATTTTTAAAACTTGAGACAGTGATTTGGAAACACACTTAAAGGAATAGAAACCAAGTTACTAAATCGTCTCTCATGTGCATGCGTAGCACATGCCGCTAGAAATAAGCGAGTTTCTGTGAGACAAAAGTGACCACTGAGATCAGAATGTTTGAAGCTGTTACAAATCCATGCATTTGGCACTATCTCATCAAATTAGATCTTATGCCATTTAGGGATTTATACCTCTCTAGCCTTAGTAAACGAGTAGGGTAGAATATGGAATCAGGCAAATAACTAATCCAAGTGGGAAATCGCAACTTGTGTACTTCTTGCAGTTTTTGTGGTAAAGTAATTAAACAAAGGGAGACATAAACAGAAAAGTAGAAACCTGGCATGTAGCGACTTAAATGGTGCAGTAACAATAGCGATGTGAGTGTCACTGAGTGATGAAGACGGCCATCAATTAACGAAGGGTATCTCATAAAAGGAAGAGAACAAAAACGCTAGATTGTTTTTTTGTTAATTTTCGGTAATTTACGCCTTTGTTCCTGCATATAGCTAACAAAATAATGATTGCTTTTATTGTAAACATCCGGCATATTTGTGCTATGTGATTGAACTGTGAAGGCTGCGAGAATATTTCTATGA